GACATTCAGGAGGTTTTTAGTGGGAGCCAAATTATCTGCAGAGGTCTTTTCTTCTCAAAAACAAACACACCAGGTGATTTAAACTGTTTAAAACACTGAATAAAGCAGTGTTTTTAGACAAAAATAAATCAGTGTTTTTCCAACGCTGCCTGTCATGGAGGGGCTGCCAACTATGGTGGCCTGACACAAAACCGCAAAAACACGAATGGCCCTATGTAGAGCCAGCGTTTGGTTTGTCCATTCTGGGCTACTGTAGAAAAATGGTGGTGCAACATGGTGGACTCCATGGACGTGTAGATATAAATGGATTATTCTGACAGTAACAAAAACACAAAGATTATTTTAATTAAGTGATTAAACATTAAATGACACAAACTTATTGTATTCAGTTTGTGCCAATATATGAAGGTCCTCACTTTTTTTTAACACATTGTGTGTGTGAGTGTGTGTGTGTGTGTGTGTGTATTGTGATTAAGATTCTATTAATCTTGCAATGCAATAATATCATGGCTTGTGAATTAGTCAACTGAAGTGCACTGTGTGTATTGACACGGCCAAGCACTCACATAACACATTGCCACTGTGGCTGGTGAACAAAATGGGGGACTTCAGTATGTTGTTAATATGCAGTTACATGTAGTTTGTATGTTGAACAGCACTGACATCTGGTGGACAATTAGTGACCCAACATGTGTGGACATGACAATCACTTTTATCGAAACGCTGCATGAACTCTCAAATTCTGTTCCTTGTCTCACAACAGTAAATGCATTTCTTGTTGCTGTCACATAGAATCCAAATGTTTAAGTATCTTCTACTGACCCAATCACATGTTCATCAACATGCTCATTGAGTAATTAATCAGGAATTTTCAAACAGAAATGTCACATACTTATTTTAGTGCAACTGATCACATGTTGTCTAATTTAGTTTGCAGGTGTATGCCATGTCACTGTGAGGACATCATGTGTGTTGAGACATTTGTTTTTAACTACACTTTAATTTTATGCAGTTTGTAGCAGAAAGACGAGTTTGTCTGATAACAGTACAAATGTTAGAGACAGTGCGAGCAACAGGGTTTAAAAGGGGCCCAGGAGCTCAGGTTAATCCGGCCCTGGCTTTAGTACAGATTTTCACAAACATTATGACACAGTGTTTGTAGAAATATATCTTATATGTGCAACAATGTGGGGACAGGAATGCTTGTGCTACATTTACGAGTGCACAGAAAAACATGTACATTGTAATACAGCACCTAATGTGCACCTCATCTACATACCATATGGGGGAGCAGTGTTGGGGAGTAGTAAACAACATAGCCTAAACTAAATTTTGCAGCAGCTTACTGGTAGTTCAACTGCGTTCATATCTGCACAGTGATGTAAGTAGTTCAGTTACTTTTTTGCCATTTTTTGTGTACTTAACTACTGAAGCTACAAACAATTATGGGCCTTAACAGGAAAGGATTTTTTCAATTTTATTTTACCATTGTTTCTCTCTTGAGAAAGGTCTGGTAAGCGAGACTACTCTCATATTACTGTACCCTCTTTGACCAGCCCAACACAAACAGCATCCAGTTACCATAAAGCTGATTTAACACCTTATTTATTACATGTGTTTAGTAACCTGGGCCTTTTTCACTACATTTCCACTTGCCACAGCGGCTAACAGCACATGTGCTACTAGTAAAACTTACAATTGCTCTGTTCTGTTCAAGTGTCCCAGTAAAATATGAGTAAAACAATGAACACCACAAGAAGTCATTCCTGCCTGTGGCCATCAAACTTTTCAATTCCTCCCCCAGAGTGTCAGACACCCTGAGTAAATAGACTCAGATTGATTTGATTTATTTTACCTGTTTCCGACAACCCATAATGCATTTATTATTTATTATTCATATATTCTTAATTGTGTAATTCTCTCCTGTTTCACTGCAAAACTGTACAATATGCAATACTGACTTGAGGACCTCTATTTTTTTGAGCAATAGTGATTTAAATGTGCAATGCACTATGCAATATTTCATTTTTATATTTTACACACTTGTAGTACAATGCACATATTTGTACATATTTTATATCCTTCTATTTCTTATACATCTCTGTTCTTTTAACTTTCTATTTTCTTAAAGGTCCAGTGTGTAGGATCTAGGGGCATCTATTGGCAGATATGCAATATAATATTCATTGTTTTCATTAGTGTATAATGACCTGAAACTAAGAATTGTTGTGTTTTCATTACCTTAGAATGAGCCATTTATTTCGAGTAGGTATGTAACTGCATCTGGAGCAGTTACGTGACTTGCCCACCATACCTACATGTCAGTCCCAATCAGCTCCCTTCGTTCCTTGGCCCAGAAGCGGAAGACCCGACGAAATTGCTAAATTAGTGATTAGCGAGCTATGAAGAGAGGCAGTTAAGGTTAGAGTAAGGGTAATGGGAAGGCCTGTTACTTGTGAAGTGAATCACGTCTTGAATTACAAAGTGGATTATTGCTACATTTGGTCTTATTTATTCAATATAGTGTAGCATTGTAGCAGGGTTCAGATATTTTACTGTTGGTGGGCTTGTCTTGCACTAGTGGTGAGTATGGTTTCTAGGGCATGTCATGTCCACTGCAAATGAAATTTGTCTGCAGCTACATGTCTTGTTTATATCTTCATATGGAGTCCACTATGTTGTTTCTGCAGCAGACTTAATTTGACAAATCAAACACTGGCTCTGGATAGGGCCATTCACGTTTTTGTGTTGGCCACCATTATTCTACGTGCTTGGCACACAGGAGAAGTTTCAGTTGCAATCCTCCACACTACACACTAGCCCTATAAATTCTTCTTATATTTTTATATTTATAGGTATATATTGTGTTATGTATTGTAGTCTAATGCACATTTTTTCTCTCATTCTTCTTACTCTATTTCTATTTCTATTTTCTTATAATTAATTTCTGCTCAAAAAAGTTAATTCGTTCATCTTCTAACCGCTTCGTCCTCTTGAGGGTCACAGGGGGACTGGAGCCTATCCCAACTGACATCGGGCGAGAGGCAGGGTACACCCTGGACAGGTCGCCAGACTATAGCAGGGCTGCCACATAGAGACAAACAACCATTCACGCTCACATTCACACCTACAGACAATTTAGAGTTATCAGTTAACCTAATCCCCAATCTGCATGTCTTTGGACTGTGGGAGGAAGCCGGAGTGCCGGAGTGCTGACACGGGGAGAACATGCAAACTCCACACAGAAGGGCTCCCACAACCGGGATCGAACCGGCAACCCTCTTGCTGTGAGGTGAGAGTGCTAACCACCACACCACCGTGCCGCCCGCTCAAAAACGTTAATGTTCTTACTTTTCTATTGATGTGCCCTTATGCTGTTGGGAAACTTCCTATCAAACTCTCCAGCTCTCATAAGCAAGCTCTGTTATGTTGGTCACTTCTTTATAAGCACAATTATTCTCCTCACAAATGCTTCTATGGAACAAAGCCAATATTACATACAGAAATAAGTCCATGTTCTTTTAACATTGGTTCAACATTCTTCTTGTGAAATAACTATTTGACAATGATGGACTTTTGTATTCATATAATGATTTTAAAGAGAGGTATAGTATTCCTGTCTCCCTATTTGAGTGTAACACTGTGGTAAATGCACTGCCAGCTGGCATCATATCCTTATCACGCTGCAACTCAAATATAAATGATGATATTACTATAGCCAATTACAGCATTACTGTGGATGGAATCTCTCTCTTTTTTTTTTTGACCAAAAAAAAAATCAACAATACTTTAATTAGATATTCACTTATTCCAAGAACAGTACCACCTGCTAAATATAAATGGACAGACCAGACTCTTGATGTGGGGACATGGAATACTGTATTTACTCTTCCTTACAAATATGTACTGCCCAACAAAATCAGAGCATTACATTCCTGATAAGACTGACAAATGCACCTTCTGTAACACTGTATGTAACCACTGTATGATGGAAAGATTAGAACACTTATTCTTTCGATGTGTAGCCTACATCTGGACTGATTTTCAGTTGGAACTTCGAAGCCATTTTGGCAAGAACATTTCACTCAAAAAAGCCAATTTGTTAATGATATTCAAAAATCCAGATTTCTTTAAGAATTAACAATATATAATCAATTTGCTCATTATTTTAGCCAAATGTAATATTCATAAATCAAAATACTTGAAATTGCACTTGTATCCTGCTTTCAAGAATTCAGATCCAAATATAAATACAAAAATATCAAAATTAAGAATATGTAATAACAACTAATCAAAAGTATTGATTTATGCATATCTTGCAACTTTATAACCAATTAGGTGTGTGTGTGTGTGTGTGTGTGTGTGTGTGTGTGTGTGTGTGTGTTCATACTCATGTCTCATTTATTTATTTATTTATTTATTTATTTATTTATTTTTCTGGTATGATGACTGTGCACCACTGGATGCATTGTGTTGAAACTGTTAATACAAAGTAAAAAAACAAAAGTCTTTAGTAGTGATCAGTAAAGTATTCTGAATCTAAAACCAGCAAACACAAACACAGGAGTCTGATTTTCACAGTTTTCCTACTGTGTCCTGTCAAAATGACTTCATTGAAGGCCTAGAGAAAGCCACTGACTTAGTGTGACTGACCCACTGACCCAGTGAAGGTCCATTAAGCTTATTTAATTAAATGATTAATTAAAGACCAGTGCTAGGCTACAGTTAGTTTATCAAGCTAATTAGGGCACAGACAGGCTGAGCACACAGATACAAGACTCCGTTTTGATTGGCTGAGTCACGTGATTAAACTAACGCCATAAACCCGGCTAAAGATTAATATCTTGTTGTTATTTTGTTGTCACTCAGACGTAAAATCGGTCATATTTGCGCTCTCTGCTGCTTTTTAATCCCTTCTGAAGTGTCTCACAGCTCTGAGTGCAGAATGTAGGCCACCCTCCTCTGGCCGTTACTTTGCGTATATTACGTCTGACGTCAGAGCGTCAGCTGGCTGAATGTTTACATCCAGCAGTGGTGTGTTTCTGACTGGATCCCTCCAACAACAAAAGGCTGAACACAAGGAAACCCGCTAACACAGAGCATATCAGTCGGCGTTTTCTCCAGGTACAGCATTATGTTTCCCGGGGTTGAGTACGGAGGCCCGGTGAGAGGCAGCGCTTTGTCCCTGCAGCAGCAGCAGCAGCAGTTAGCTGTTGTCATGTCTCCGTCTTTCTTCTCTTCCAGCGAAGCCGAGAATGCGGTTATTTGTGTTTGTGTTGACCTTGCTGCTGCATGACAGTCTGTTACAGATGCAATATGTAGTTTGTGTTGTTTATAGCAGACGGTTGTTGGACTAAAAGGGCTTGAATTCGAATTTGAATTTCGGATTAGGATCACCTGAGTGGCGCAAATAGCTACCGCAACAACGTGCAGGCTGTGGATGTATGCGGTGAAATGAAACCTGCTGGAGTTACAGGTCGGGCCGTGACTTTTGACTCTCCTTACAAACGATGTGAACGAAAGAATGGACGTGAAAGCTAATTTACTGAATCAGCAAATGAATTGTTAAGCCCAAATGGCAGTGTTTTTGCAGGAAGTGTGTACCCTACTAGCCTACTAAACCAGTTAGTTTGTTACAAAATGGGATACAGCGCCCTCTTGTGGTTAATATCCTAAAGAAGCAGTTTGTGATGATAACTCACAGGGGCAACAGCTCACTCTGGATTCCCTTCCCTGATAATAGATATTCATTTTGATGCAACTACTGTTGTTTGTCCCTTTTATTGATTCAGTGACTGACAACATCCTCTTAAAGGTTCATCAAAGGCAGGACGTCCAGTAATATGTAAATGCACACGGTCCTTTGTTCTTTTATAGCCTCATGACTATGGCCAGCATTTGGCAGCCAGTGCACCCTGTGATCTCTTGTCCTTTGGCATTGCCCTCCGGTGTTGTTTTTAACACCAGCCCTAACCAATGCTGCAGCAGCCGCACCATTCACACCTACAGCTGTATTCTGCTGCCAAAAGCTTCATCAAGGCCTCTAAATTTGGTTGGGTCAGGCTCAACTGAGAGCTTATCAGTGCATGCATTTTGAATCAATAACCACTACTTTGTGCTGTCAAATCGGACATGATATGTTGTTGTGCCCAGTTAAAGTTCTCACAGAAGGACAGACTTACAGGTAGTTCTGAATATGATGGTTAAAGGAGCTGTGTAGAAATTTCAGGGCTGCAGCAAGCCATTGTTTTCATTAGTGTGCTGCAAAGATGTGAACTCGAGTGTTATGACTTGGACTCAAATCGGGCTCGAGTCACAAATTTGATGAAAGACTTGACTTAACAAAGTCTAAAAGACTTGCAACAAAATAAGTGATGTAGTTTTACATGTCAACTCAACAGTTTGCCTTCAAATATTCAGTAACTACTACAATCTTATTTCTCTAGTTTACAACAAAATAAAATCTACCACAAATGACATTTAAACAGCTCCCAAATACAAAAAAAATATAATAATATATATAGTGATC